TTGGGGGGCCTTTAGGGAGCTTCTTGAAGGTTTTTGGGGGCTTCTTGGGGGCGTTTTGGGGGGCTCTTGGGGCCTCCTTGGGACCTCTGGGGGCGGAGGGCTTGAAATGTTCGCAGGGCATCCTCTCTGGGCCCCTGCTTGGGGTCGTCCTGGGTCCCTCTTGGGCCGTCTTGGGGACCTCTTGGGCTAGCTAGGGGCCCTGTTGGGCTGTCTTGGAACCCTCTTGGGCTGTCTTGGGGCGATCCTGGCGGCCTCTCGGGCCGTCTTCGTTCCCGTGGAAGGTCACGAGGCGAATCACTGAAAAATCTACGTTTTCCGGATGGAACAAAGCAACTTTTGCCTCTTGGGGCCCTCTTGGGAGGGCTCTTGGGGCCCTCTTGGGCCGTCTCGGGGGCTCCCGGGAGCCCCCCGTATCTGGGGTTCTCGGGTTCCCTTAGACGTCCTTGGAAAAAGTCACGCGGTTTTCCGGGTCTCCACAAACGCTTTGCCAGCAGACCCAGAGCGATCCGAGGGGTCACCAGAAAGGCTCAAGGGAGGCCCCAGACAGCACAAGAGCGCTCCAAGAGGGACTCCAATTGCGTCAGGACGGCCCAAAAGACCCCCCAAACACCCCAAAAAGCTTCCCCTTCGTAAAACGTTCAATGTTTGCATATTCGCCTTTCGTATCTCATCAGCTTTCAAGACGGTTTCACAGCCCCCGAGATCGCCTCCAGACGACGGCCAAGCCGGGCCCCACGATCGCCCACGAGAGCCCCAAGACAGCCCATAATGGAACCAAGAGGCCCCCCCAAGGCTCCCAGCACAGACCCAAGAGGGCCATGGGAGGTCCCCGGAAGTGCCCAAGATGGGTCCAAAGGGGGCTCCAGCGGGCCCAAGCTCCCCAAGATGGCCCAAGAAGGCCCCAGGACGGCCCATGAAGGCCCCAAAACGGCCCACGAGGGCCCCGAAAACACACCCACGATGTTTCCGAATGCCAACATAAAGACCCCCAAGGCACCCCAAAACGCTTTCCAAGGGGCCTTCAAGCCACAAAAACCGTCCCATTCCCTTCGTAAAACTTACAATGTTTGCATATTCGCCTTTCGGAATTCATCAGCTTTCAAAGCGTTTTCAGAGCGCCCGAGATCACCTCAGAACTCCCCAAAAGGCCCCCAAGAATGGGCCCCACGATCGCCCACGAGAGCCCCAAGACAGCCCATAATGGAACCAAGAGGCCCCCCCAAGGCTCCCAGCACAGACCCAAAAAGGGCCATGGGAGGTCCCCGGAAGTGCCCAAGATGGGTCCAAAGGGGGCTCCAGCGGGCCCAAGCTCCCCAAGACGGCCCAAGAAGGCCCCAGGACGGCCCATGAAGGCCCCAAAACGGCCCACGAGGGCCCCGAAAACACACCCACGATGTTTCCGAATGCCAACATAAAGACCCCCAAGGCACCCCAAAGCTTTCCAAGGGGCCTTCAAGCCACAAAAATCGTCCCATTCCCTATGTAAAACTTACAATGTTTGCATATTCGCCTTTCGGATTGCACCAGCTTTCAAGACGTTTTCAAAGCGCCCGAGATCGCCTCCAGACGCTCCAAAAGGCCCCCTAGAAAGCTTCAAGACGGCCGAACCGGGCCCCACGATCGCCCACGAGAGCCCCAAGACGGCCCATAATGGAACCAAGAGGCCCCCCAAGGGCCCCCAGCACAGACCCAAAAGGGCAATGGGAGGTCCCTGGAAGTGCCCAAGATGGGTCCAAAGGGGGCTCCAGCGGGCCCAAGCTCCCCAAGACGGCCCAAGAAGGCCCCAGGACGGCCCATGAAGGCCCCAAAACGGCCCACGAGGGCCCCGAAAACACACCCACGATGTTTCCGAATGCCAGTATTCATTGATTTCGTTCCCATGACATTTCACAGTGTGACCCAGTCGTTGAGGGTCTCGTGGCATGCAGCGAAGATGCCCGAGGATGCCCCGTACGGGTTGCATGTGCATGTTCATGCCCATGCGCACATAAATTTAGATGTACATATATACAACAACGTAACTTTATTGTACGCACCTAAACAGTTATACGGAACGTGCATGCGCGCGCGTGTATACATGCATGCGCGCATGTGCGCACGCACGCATTCCGCTTGCGTGCAGAAGTCAAAAGACCAAAGTGCATGGTGCGCGGCGCCAATGCAGTCTGGCGTATGTGTGTATATATAGTGCAAGACTGCATTGGCGCTGCGCGCCATGCACCTTGGTCCTTTGAGTTCTGCACGCAAGCGGAATGCGTGCGTGCGTACATGCGCGCATGCACGTATGCACGCGCACGTGCATGCACGTGCCGTATACATGTCTAGGTGTATACAATATACTTACCTTGTTGTATATGTGGCACCGTACATATGCATATATAAACTTATGTTTGTGGGGGGCATGAACATGCATATGCAACTCGTACGTGCTTTGTCGGTGCACGTCCATATGTGCAAGTATATATGTATATGTATATAACAATGGGTACGCATACACATGCGTATCTCAGGCGGTAGTGGCCTGACCAGTTGCTCAGGGCACCTCGCAAATGAAAGGGCCGAGGGTCTCAGGCAAAAATGGCCAGATTATCATGGGACAGTGCATCGCCGAGGTCAGTGTGCGAGGATGTCTCAAGCGAAAATGGCCTGAACATTTCCGCTCAAGACATACTGGAACTCAGAATTGCGAGGATGTCTCAAGCGAAAACGGCCTGAACACCTCAGCTCAGGACAGACCGGAACTCAGTGACGCGAGGATGTCTCAAGCGAAAGTGGCGGAATACCATGGGGCAGGGCATCTCGGAACCTAGAGCTGCGAGAACGTTTCTAGCGAAAGTGGCCCGAACACCTCAGCTGAAGGAGCCCTGGAATTCGGAGGAGGTCTCAGGCCACAGTGGTCTGATGTCCTCAGCTCAGGGCACCTCGGAACCGAAAACTACGAGGATGGCTCTGGCGAAAGTGACCGGAACACCGTAGCTTAGGACATCCCCGGACGCAGAGTTGCGAGGGTGTCGCATGCGGAAGTGGCCGGACCACCTTGGGGTAGGGCACCTCCGAGGTCAGAGTTGCGAGGATGTCTTAGGCGCAACTGGCCCGAGCACTATGGGGCGGGGCATCTCCGAAGTCAGCCTTGCGAGGAAGTCTCAAGCGAAGAGTGGTCTGAACACCTCAGCTCAGGGCATCCCGAAATCCAGAGTTGCGAGAAGTCGCAGGCGAAAGTCGGCTAACCACCATTGTGCAGGGCACCTCCGAAGTCAGACTTGCGAGTCTGTCTCAGGCGAAATTGGCCTGAACACCTCAGGCCAGGGCGTCTCGGACTTCAGAGTTGCGAGGATGCCTCAGGCGACAATGGCGGGACCACTGCGAGGCAAAGCGTTTCCGAGGTGGGAGTTGTGAGCATACCTGGGCGAAGCGGATCTGACGACTCCCTCTTCCTCCTCCCCCTCCTCGTTTTCTGTCTGGGTGATACTCGCCACTCGTCCTTCGCACTCCCCTTGCGTATAATTCCTTCTTCCTGTCTCTTCATTTTCTCATTCGCGTTCTCCTGGTCCACATCCTCTTCCTCCTCATCTCCTCCTCATCCTCCTCCTGAGTTGCCGGCCGGGCCGGGCCGAGCATTCGGAAACATCGTGGGGGTGTTTTCGGGGCCCTCGTGGACCGTTTTGGCGCCTTCATGGGCCGTCTTGGGGCCTTCTTGGGGAGCTTGGGCCCGCTGGAGCCCCCTTTGGACCCATCTTGGGCACTTCCGGGGACCTCCCATGGCCCTTTTGGGTCTGTGCTGGGAGCCCTTGGGGGGCCTCTTGGTTCCATTATGGGTTGTCTTGGGGCTCTCGTGGGCGATCGTGGGGCCCGGCTCGGCCGTCTTGAAGCTTTCTTGGGGGCCTTTTGGGGCGTCTTGAGGCGATCTCGGGGGCTTTGAAACCGTCTTGAAAGCTGATGAAATCCGAAACGATTTTTGTGCTTTGAACGCCCCTTGGAAAGCTTTTTGGGGTGCCTTGGGGGTCTTTGGGCCGTCCTGACGCAATTTGAGTCCCTCTATCGCGCTCTTGTGCTGTCTGGGGCCTCCCTTGAGCCTTTCTGATGACCCCTCGGATCGCTCTGGGTCTGCTGGCAACGCGTTTGTGGAGACCCGGAAAGCTGGGTGACCTTTTCCAAGGACGTCCAAGGGAGCCCGAGAACCCCAGATCCCGGGGGTCCAGTTTTTTTTGGGGGGGTGATGGTTTTTCCCCCCCCCCCCCCCCGGGCGTGTAAAAATATAGGAAGAGGAATATGGGAAGGAGTGGATGGGACGGGCAGCATGTCAGATATGGCGCGAGCGCACCTAGGTTGCCTCTCGGCTTGAAGGCAGCAAGCAGGGTGGTCTGAGCAAGGAGGGCCCCGAGAGAATCTGTCAAGATGGGAGGGGGGAGACGGGCAAATGCGCTCAAAATCGGTCACCAAACCCCTTCCAGGGTCCATCTGGTGCAGTTCTTCATCCCGGATCCGTCTTGAACGGTCTCAGGGCCCGAACATGGCGCCCGTAATTGATAGAGGCAGAGTAACTTTATCGAACCCCAAACCTCGAACCTCTTCCCCCCTTCCTCTTGCTGGCCGGAACCAGCGCTGGGCCACCTCACCCCCCCAGCTGGCTCAAGTCTCCTGCACAGATTAAGCAAGATTAACCGGGGCTGCGCGGGATTTTACCGAACTAAACAAGATCTGGCCAGTTTGCGACCAGGGATATACCCGCGCAGATTCTGACTGCAACCTCCCAGGACTTGCATCCTCACGTAACCAGCCTCGAACTGATCCCGATCCCTGAGATTCACGAGGCCAAAACGATGACAGTCTCAGGGATGCGCCTTGCAAGCTGACGGGATCTTCAAGACTGGCACCGAGATGAGTCGATGCCTAGCGTTGGGATGGGGATGTGTTGCAGGCTGGCATCCGAGAGGGTCCCTCTCCTGCACGGCAAAGCGCCCCCGATCGCGGGGAGGCAAAGCGCGGCGGTGCCGCCGCGCCTTGCCCCGACAGACTTACGCCAGCGCGGCGAGCCGCGGATTCCGGCATGGGACGGCACGGCCTGGCCGCCCACCGAGGGCAGAGGGCGAGGAGGAGGAAGAGGACGAGGAGGAAGAGGACGAGGAGGAGGAAGAGGACGACGAGGGTGATGGTGATGAGGAGGACGACGAGGACGAGGAAAAGGAGAAGGGCGAGTCCGAGGAGGAAGAGGGAGGAGGAGGAGGAGGAGGAGGAGGAGGAGGATCGGATAGGGACAAGGGCGCCGGGGGTCCGTGTGCCAAACTGAAGTTCAAAAACTTCGCTGATCCTTGGGCAATTACATGGATGCTGGCCCTCTGGACCGTTGCCAATCTTGGGGGCATGCCTGGGGTGCCCCGTTACCTGGCTGTTCCAAGCCCACGGGTGCTCCGCTGGCAGGGAGGCTCTGCTCAGAAACGTTTACGTGGGTAGCCGAAGCAAGGAGGTCGGCGCTGCTGCCGTCGCGAAACGCGCACCTCCCGCGGAAAGGCCGGACAACTGCTGCCCAAACGCCAACCCCACGAGAGAACTCCTCCTCCGCAGCAACCGCCCCCCCACCCCCCACCCCGCCCCCACCGCCCCACCCCCTCTTCCTCCAGATCTGGCGAGCAAAATGCGTGCCGCTGCGCGGCTGCTTACTTGTTTGTGTCCTTCTCTGTCATGTTCGGAAACTTGTTTCCTTTTGACGAGCGTTTTCCACGAAGTTTGGGTGCATACGGACATCCGTGCCTGGTGGCCCTCCTTTGTATGATCTCCCCGTCCTAGAGAAGGCTGGCGATGGCGTCCTCGATGGCAGAGAACGGCACGTTGACATGGTCTGCCAAATAACTGATCTGTGTTCCTCTTTCCACTGCCATGGGAGATCTCTGCTTTAGTGAGGTCGCGCAATCCTCACTGTTTTTGTTTCAACTGTAAGAAAACGACGTCTTGCAAATCCCATGTACGTTCTTCGACTGCAGGGACCTGTGTTGAAGAGGCTTTCCGGAAACAATGTGTGTTGATGCGCATTTCGCTCGCCTGTCGATGAAAGTTGACACTGTCGAACCACGCGTGTGGATTGCTGTGCCTCTTATCGACAATTATCTCCCGTTCTCGCGAATCAGTCAAATCTGCTGCGCGTGCAACCTTCGAACTGTCAAACGGTGTGTGCGTGTGCGTGTGTGTGTGTGTGTATGCGTGCGTGTGTGAATACACATTCCCACAGATGATAACTGCGTGTATGCGACTGAGCGCATATCCACAACCAGCCTTTTTTCTTGGACAGAAGTCGTGGGTACCGAAGCGAGCTGGACGAACCTGAGACATACGTTTTTTTAGCAACACCACCCCCGTCACTGCTGCCGGTGCTGTCGCTCATGTTCATCGTGCAGGCGGGAGACGACCACTTAGGAATCCCTGCCAGAGCCTCACTTGTCTTCTCTAAATTAACTTTCCGCGTGACGAGAACCACCTGATCAGCTTGGGTGGACGAGGCGAGAACAGCAACCTGTGTAGAGACAGTAGAGACCATAACAAGAGATGCCCTAATCTTGGCGATGGCGTCGCTCGTCTTACAAATCCGCAGACTCCAACACCAAGGCATTATCATCAGAACTCTTCCTCGGTATCACTGCGCCCCCGAGCGGATCGAGATCCGGGCTGGTCGGAGAGGGGGGGGGTACACAGAGCGAGGGGCAGCTGTGCCCAAGTTTCGATCACCCCCATCGGCTGCGATCCAACTCGAAGCACCAGGGAGTCGTGTTTCGAACTTGAGACAAACTGGCACGGATGATACTGACGATGATCACGAGGATGATGATGATGGTGGTGGTGATGATGGTGATGCTGCGGCGGATGGTGATGGTGATGATGATGGGGATGATGATGTTGATGATGATTGAGAGGATGATGAGGATGATGCAGCTGCTGGTGGTGATGATGATGCTCATGGTGATGATGAGCATGATCATGATGAACATGTTCATGATGATTATGCTGCGGCTGTTGATGATGGTGATGATGGTGGTGATTTTTTACCCCCCACCCACACACAGGCACACACACACGCCGATTCACCTTTACAACTGTTAGGGTGTTGTGCTGGGGTAGTGCCGGTTCTTCTTCTTCTTCGACAGTCACCCTCTACCCTCCGGGGCCCAAATATACACACCACCACCAGGCGGCTACAGGAAATGACAAAATTATGGTGGTCATGCGCGCAGATGGCGGCCGCATTCGGTCGCGAAGAACTGCTCCCGAGTAACCTTTGGCAGCATGGTGGTGGTGTATTAAAACGATGGCCCCCCCCCCGAAATTTCAGACACCACCCCGAACTATACACCACGTGAATGTGTTGTTTCTTGCGCATACAACCGCGTGTCCAAATGACGCTGCGCAAGCGACAAGTCATTACCGCGAGAATTGACGCACCCTGCAACCCACCGCCGAAACAATAATCTGATCAACCCCTATGACGGAAAGCCAGCCCGCGGTGGTGATGTATTTGCGTGGGTCCCGGATGCCCTGATAACTCGGGGCTCCGACCTACTTTCTGAAAGGTTGTGTGTGTGTGTGTGTGTGTGGGTGTCCGCGCGGATTTCTTGGATCGGCGCTTTGGCACGCAGAACGCGCCAGGGGCGGCGCCAGAGGCGCCGCCAAGACGGCCCAAGGCCGATCCAAGAAACCCGCGCGGACCTCCGAGAAAGTGTGCTCATGCAGTTTCTGTCCTTCTTCGACGACCGCCCTTCGCCCTGACAACTCGGGGTTCTGACCCGACGCTGCCTCCAAGCCCTGTCGCTGCTCCTGCTTCGAAGAGGTTGGGGGTCCAAGGCCCCGAGAAAGTCGGTCCGAAAAAAGCAAGGTCAAAAAGCAGACCCACTCAAAATCCGTCCCCGAATCCCTCCCGGGGCCCACATTGCGCAACTTCCCGCCCCGGATCCGTTCTGACGGTCCCGGGGCCGAAGACTGACTACCTACCAGACCACCCCAACCCAACCCGAAGACCCGAATTTGACCCGAATTTCGGGTCGGGGGGGGGTACGGGTTCCATATGTGTTTTTTTCAACGTTCCCCGACCCCCCCCCACTGGAAATGGAGGGCGAGTTGAGGCCTTCGGGTTGGGTTGGGGTGGCCTGGTGGGTGGTGGAAAACCGGCCCCCAGAGAGGAGCAACAAGCTCGGGGAGAACGCACCGAGACCAGACCCCTCGAGCCGCGCCCCCCCCCCCCCCCCTCCCTTTCCTGCTGGCCAGAGCCGGGGCTGTGCCACCTCCGACCCCCGGCCAGCTCCGAGGCCCAGAGGAGCGGCGAGGGGCCCCCGATGGCGAACCCGCACGTTCCTGGGCGGGGGGCGGGCTGCCGGGCCTCGAGCGGTGAACGATGTGCGATGGGGGGCCGATGCGTGCCCCCCCTGAGCCTGTCCGGAGACGAAGTCAGGACGAGAATACATTCGGGTGAGGATAAAAAACGAGAAACACTAAGGTCTGGCGTTTTGCTGCTCCCATCGTACTTAAAGACCAAATCCCAAACATAATTTCGAAGTCGAAAGACGGTCGCCTCCCAAGACCCGACACGTGAGAACCTTCCGCCTTAGGCACTCTCTTGGTGCTCGAAGTTCTTTCTGGCGATCAAGGCTACAGTAGGTTGGAACATCCGAAGTCTGGCGGTCTGGAGGCTGTCCAGGGCGCCGCGGCCACCTCGGAGCGTTCCGGAACGTCCCTGGGAGCGTCCTGCAGAACGCTCCCGAACGGATCGGTCCTCGTCACACGCCCCACCCGATGGGCAACGTTTTCTTTTTCGGAGTTTCGACATTGGGCCTAAGTCGGGCATGTCCTCCTACAGGCGGATGTTCGCGTCAAAATGATCAGAAATAGTCAAATATCGTCACCGGATTATGTTTCCCCCCCCCCAAAAAAGAACTAACTATTTTTGAAGATCCCTCCTGTAGAGGGACATGCCAGACTTAACACTGGGCGGAAGGGGGGCGGGGGGGGGAGGGGGAGGTCTGGCTCTGGACCTCTGCTGCTTGATGCGACTGCGCGCATCAGTGCGTCCTGGGGGGGAGGCCCCCCGCATGCCCAGAACGGGCGCCCCAGACGGCCAAGATCTGCTCCTGCTCCACGGTGGGGGGAGGGGAGGGGGGGGGCGAGGGCTGGCGCCGAGAGGCAAAACGATGACTCGCCATCGCTCGGACGTCCATTCCCTGTGCATTTTTCGGCTTCGTGCATGTGTGTGTGTGTGTTTTTACAAGGTGAGCAAACTGCTCCTTGAGGATCCTCGCCGAAAAAAAAATGCACACGTCCGAGCGATGCCAGGATTCGGGTCGGGCGAAAGGGGGGGATAGCAAAGGGGGGGGTTGAGAATCAGCTCACGTAGCTGATTTTCCCGGCGCCTCCCGGCGCCAGAGGAAGCCATGTATCGAGGAATGGGCCCCTCGGCGAGGCCGAAACCAGCTGCATGCAGCAGATTTTGTACCCCCCCCTTTTTCCCAATCCCCCCCTTTCGTCCGGCCCGAAGGATGAGCAGGAACACGAGCACGTGCCCCCCCCTCTCTCGCTGCCCCCGCCTGCAGCCCCGCGCCCGCCCTGCGCGCCCGCGGCGGCCCGCCCCCGCCCTGCGCGCCCGCCCGGGGGGCGGGCAGCGGGGGCGGGCAGGCGGCGGCCGCTCCGCGGGCGCGGGCCCGGCCGGGGCGCGCCTCCTCCCCGCGGCGTCGCGCTGCGGCATGCCCTCTCGTGCACCCGCAAAGTCCAGCGCTTCCGCGCCCTCCCCCATTATCGCCCTCCTCCCTCCCCTCCGTCCTGCCGCTCCTCCTCTCGCGCGCTCCCGACGACCGCCCGGAGCATTCCAAGGTGCCCAGCGCGCAGTGCTCTCGGAACCAAGGGGCGTTCCAAGAACACGACCAGCAACGTACGTAGAACACACCGCCGATGCAGTAAAACGAGACGGTGTCAGCCAGAGCTGTTCTAGGATCACGTCGAGCAAACCACAAACGATTCTCAGAAAATTCTTCGGTGGACTAAAGGCAAGCCAGGACGCCTCGCCACTGCTTGCAACCGCGGGTAGGAGGA